TAGAATATCCCCTGAATAAAAAAACATAAATGCTCCAGCCACAAAGAAAATATGAAATGTTTTGTCGGCCAGATGCAATGATTGGAGCATAATTAATGAATGGATCCATGTAGAATATGGAAAACAAAAGCCATTTTTAAAGACTCATTCTGACTTATAATAAAATATTTTAATTTCTACAATTTTCAAACCCAAAACTTCAAAGCTTTCTACAGCTTGGATCAGCGCGATATTTGCTGACCATCGTGTGAGGTGGTTGGAGAAGGACAATGAAATACAACATTTTGAACTGATGACAGACAGCCGTAAATGATGCAAGGTGAAAAGGCTAATTAGGTTCCATCATTCATTCTGAATGATTCATTTTCTCGGGTGCAGCTCAGCAGGCGCTCTGTAAACATGTAATAATGATAGACCCCACACCCTGCATGATCAATTCTCTTGATAAATACTAATGATTCTGGCTGGATGGCATCTGCAAAGGTGCCAGTAATCAGATGGATATTCTGTAAACCAGGCGCCTGGCTAATTCATTAGCAGAGCTTGTTTTGTTTCATAGTTATTTACAATATAAACCAATCTCAGAGCTAAATGAACAGGCAGAAAAACAAATATTTAATATAAAACTTTTATTTAGAATAAAACAATGTAGCCATATTACATGTAGTGTTTTCAATCTATTTTACATACCTCAGGAGAAGCGACACAGTTCTGCCGTGATAAAGTTCATCATGATTAGAATCGTTAAAACAATCACTAACATTAGTTGACGGCTGGAGGAGGTTATAGTAGTGTTGGTCAGTTTCACAGGTTTTACAGAACAGCATAGATCACAACAACATGACGCAGCAAGGAAAACCCAACAACTGATGCTCATCATGGGAACTAAGCTTCTGCAGGTCAAACACCCACAGTGATTACTTTGTTTTTAAAACTTGGTTACTCCTCATTGCAGTGTACACCAATACAGTAAGCAAAAGCTTAGAATACTAAACCAGGTTGTTCATGACTGAAACAAATCACGACTGCTTTAAACGACCACAAAGAAAAACAAAAAAACTGTGTCTACGAGTCTGAGGTAGCAAGGCAATCATGGCTTTACTCTGATTTATTAACATTTATCTCCAAAAAAAAAAAATCCACCCTACATAACGATGATGGGCCTTTTACAAATCAAGATTAAAAGTCTGCATTTATTTAATCTTTATGCACAATATCATTATAATTTAAGAGCAGCTGTCTCAGTTTTCCACATGTGGAATGACAAACTCTTATAGGCACAGAAAGGGTAAAGTTGAGACAAAGTCTGCCGGCATTTTAACACGTTTTAAAGGGGAACTTGACATCAAACATGCTTAAGGACAGATTTCAAAAGTGACTTTACAATTTCTAAACGATCCTGTAATCTGTCAAGTGTCTTCTTTTATTACTCCCACTCCCTTAAAAGCTACTTTAACGGACAAAGACAAAGGAGCTAGATGTTACACAGCAGTGGAATGACACGAAAATGTAACAGTTTTATTCGCAGTAAAGGCAAAAAACTGATCACAAATCCCAAAGCAATCATTTGCAAGAAACCATATTTTACTATACAGTACATCTGGAAATCTAAAGAGGAAAAAAATAAACTGACACAAGTTCAATCAAGTTCAGGTACAATCTACAGTTGCATAGTACAAGACAAGATGGTAAAACTAGTTCAGTTGTCTGCCTCTGTGCGTCTTTGGGATTCAGGGGTAGGGAATTGTTTTTGTTTGGGAATGGTCTCATGTGTGCACACACACACACTCCATTGTATGGTACTTGTCCTCACATGACCTTAAAAATACAAAGAGAAAGAATCAATACAGTTAAAATATTAACTAATGCCAACAGAGAATCAAAACAGATTTTACAACATAAACATAAAAAAAGTGCATCTGAAGGCAAGTTATTTTAGGCTAAGAGTTGCCACATATTTCTCTGGATCAGGACATCTTGAAGTGAGAGGAAAAAAAGAAAATCACAAGTTTGAAGACAGTAATCCAACTTTGAAGGCTGGAAAATGGACTTGAGTGGCTAAAGACAGGTACGGTCCATTAGGAACAATACAGCTGTAGTGGTGAGTGTGGAGGGAAATATAACTACTAGCTTGGAAATTGGACTTTAACCTTTAAATGACTGTTGTGTTCATGTCAATAGAGCGTACCATAAATTGCTCAAATATAAAAAAAGAGTAAGGATAACAGTAGTGTGCCAATGAAAAGGAATTAACGCATTTATCTCTAGAAAGTTTTGTTAAAAAAATCTGACAGATGAAACTGAAGTGAGGTTGCTGCTAAGTTCCAAATGTAAACGCAAAGCAAACTGAACAGCTTTTAAGTTATTTTTCCACTCATGGCTTAGTATTATGAGATAGTTTCTATAGAATCCAACTCTTTGTCACCATGGCATCACTAACCTGGGCTTGAAGCACTACCTATAGCAGTGGTGCTGTTGTTTTGCAGAAGTTCATGTGGTGTATCTAGTAGTTATAATATCTGTTATGTGTGGAGTAAAAATGGAACAGTAGGAATTTGAAAATATCCAGGCAGATTGCAAAACTGAGTTTCACAATCCTTGCTTTTAAATGTGTCATTTCCATGATTTTAGTATCTTACTATAATATATTCAGGTTGTGGATATAGAGCAAATGAGTTGATTTATGGTGCAACACGTACTGTAGGTCTGCATCCACTACCTGCACATACAGTCATGTATAATAAAAAGACTTCCCTGTTTGTTTTTCTAATATGTTTGGAATTAAATGAATATTTAATCAGCTCAGAAGTAGAAAAAAAGAATTAGAATGTTTAAGCAATAAAAAGATATTCATCAGATGACATCACTGTTTCTTAGAAAAGAGGAAAACCGGACAGTGCTGGTTTGTGACAATTTATTTTTATCCCTACAGATATTAAAAATAGTGAGTGCAGGGGGTTCGTGAGTCATGGTGCAATGGGTTCTCAGTTTTAATGCAAATGTATGTAACTCAGCACTCCAAGCATAAAAAAGAACAAATCGGGAAAAAATAAGGAATTATTGGTGGAATTGAAGTGAAAGAAGAAATTAGATAAGCTATTTGGTTGATTTAGTAATGCTTATGAAATGAGGGTGTAGCTGTGAAATGAGAGAAAAGATCCAAGTCTGGATATGAAAAACACATAAAAAACAAATGTTTTATGAAAGGTTTTATGTTCAGTTGTAGCTGCTGGGTTTCCTTTGTGTTATCAACCAAGAAAGTAATGCCAAATGGAAGTCCTTATAGAGAATAAACTGCGGTGTTTGCTTCATTTCTGCTTTTCTTGCTGTATAGATTAGAACTTGTTTAGAACATAGATAAACACTAAAAGAATAACCTGTGCTTATTGACTACACAGGATTCCTACTAAGTTTTCAATATTTTTTATATTTTCTAGAATTAATTTCCAGAAATCAAATTCTCCTTTTATCTAAGTTGTAATCGATATATATCGAAGTTCATTAGGAATTTTTTTAAGATATTTTGAACGCGTTTAGACTAGGAATTAATGGGATTAATCGTGATCATTAACTGGAGTATAGAGACTGTAAAACATGCCTTTAGCTGACAGAGCGATCCACTTAGAGCAGAAATTATTCCAAGATTGTAAAAAAAAATATAATAAAATTTTGCATTCAAGATAATATGCTCTATCCAGAACTCCTCAAATGGAAAAGTTTTAGTTTCACCTGGTTTAATTTCATAGGAAATCTTCTTTGGGGACCCTTTGGCTATCTGATTATTAATCGATTTATCGGCAAAATAATCATTAGTTGCAGCCCTAGTTTAGCCTCCTATCATAGAACCCTTAAAAAACCACAGACCTAAGGGTAGATGGATGGGGTCATTAAATAAATAAGAATAAATTAAAGGATAAATAAATGGATATGTAAACAAGTTGACAAAAAATTTGTGGAGTAAAAAAACTCGGAACTAAACAGTATTCCTGACATTTTGAATTGAAAAAGCTTCCTGGATGGGAAGGGAAATATCTTCAAACTTGGAAACCAAGTCCAGTGGATTGTTTTAATTATTTGGAATAAAAAAAACATTGAAAAATGGATGGACTGGTAAAGACAATCCAACTCTAAATAAACTACATTTTCCATACTTCTCTAAACTGTTTATTAAACCTGATAGCAAAGCCTGTAGGATAACACGAAAGGTTTGCACAAAACCTAACTGCATGACTACACCACAAGAAAGGACCCTTGAGAAAACTGAAAGTAAAAATGGTGACAGTTTTCCCAAACCTTGAATTAACACCATGTATAATTCTTAACTACTAAATATTCTTTTGTTAGAGCTTTAGGAGAAAATGTCAGAAAGTTTGGATACAGCAGCGCTGAAGATATGGATGAATAATTGCAGTGGAACGAGGTCAGTGGTGAAAGCTTTTACAATACTTCCATCCCAAAACGCACCTCGACCTCAAACCGGTAGAGAATGAGAGGAGCCGACTAATGGAAGTCCCCAGAGATCCATTAGTCGGCTCTTTCCCAGAAATCTTCTGATACATGCATGAAGTTGAGGGATTGAAGAAGGGTCCTGCTTTTGTGGCAGCACCTGTAATTACCTCTAACATGCACTCTGCTCCAACTTTACCCATCTTTATTAATTACTCATAAACAAACTACGCAACAGAAAAGAAAAAGAGAGAAAGCTGCTAATATGCAGACTAATTTCCAGCTCTAGTGTTTATATTGAGGAAAATCGTCTTACCTGTGGTCTTGAGGAAAGGCTTGAGGCTGTGGGAGAGAAAACAAAACAGCAGTTTAATGCTTTAAATTAACAGTTCATCTGTTTGCATTTATATAATGCTAAATCATCAGCCTGCGGGTGCCTTCTCATTTTGATACACACACCCAGCTCTGCACCGCTCATTCCTCTGGGCTCTGCAGGAACTGAAGCCTTATAGTGCTGGAGCCAAAGCAAGATTGGAATGGATTTTTAACTAAAGCCCTCATCTTGGTTTTAACCCTGAAAGTAAATGCAATTTAAAGGCAGCAAGCTTCAATTTTACATTTGAGCACTTTAAGACTTGATTAACACTCCTAAAAGTGGAGATTCTTTTTAATTTGGGAAAAGCATATCAAAAAGGACGTATAAGCAATTGTAGATCGCCTTAATTCTTATCCTGAATTTAGTTTAAAATTCAAGAAGTTAGCTTTTCAAAAATCTATTTTAAATAGCAGCCTTCAGCTATTAACTCATCTTTGGTAATAATTCCTACATTTTCTGTAGGGTTAGGCAGCAATACTGACTTTGGACTGGATAAAACAAATACTCCCAATGTCTGAGGATGATGTGGCCCCTTTAGGCCAAGTTCGATGCCTTTGATGCTTCTGGTTTAGAAGCAGTTTAACATAAAGAATGGGACCGCTGTAGATCATCCTGGATATATCTGTGTGGTGGCTCTTTAAGCACTACACAACTATATCTCAGATCTTGTAAATCTCCCAAAAACTCTTGAACTGGCCTTATTTCACAATCTTTCCAAGGCTGTGATTATCTGTTCCTCTTTTGCACATTCCTCTAATGCTTGATTTCCATCCTCAACTTTTTTTTTTCTTAATGCACCCAATACAGCACCCTGTGTGTGTTTCTTTTGCGACTATGTCACAAATGTAAAGTCAGTCGTCTTTCCCCCGACAGTCTAAGCTATAAACTAATATTTAAATGTTACGAATACTGATTTAAATTGGCCTTAAACGCTAATTTTAGCATTAGGTGAAGGTCATCATAAAATTTGACAGAATAATATTAGTTTTGGATTAGATACTGAGCCCTTCTCAGATAAGCATAATCGTGTGCTTAGTAGCCATCATTTAAACTTCAAATCTGACAACATGCACACAGCAAGTGAGAAAGGACAAACACTAATGGATCATTATATTCATGGAGAGGAATACATGGACAAAGCTGATAAATCAGGAAAAATGTGTGAGATAATCCTCACCGATCATCTCTTCTCTCTTTATAGCAGCGGTTCCTTTATTTTATTTCTAAGGACATCCTTAACTTTAAAATCAATATTAGAGTGTAGAAGTACTACAACAGTACTATAAATAAAAAAAATGAAAAGTATTTCTGCTCTCAATCCTATTTTTATTCATTAATGTTTCTTAAGTAGGTTCAGATAGTCTCTTTTGTCATGAGAAAACATCACTTAATGTTGATCTACATGGTGGACTTTCTATAAGTTCAGCAACTGAGCTTCTAACAATGTATAAAATAATCTTTAGCCAAATACTTTTTTTTTTGGTTCTTACCACATTGGGAACAAGAACAATTTTCTCGGTTCTTGCGGTGTATGCAACAAAGCTGAATACACCCCCCCTCAGGCAAACGCTGAACCAAAAAGCAGAATAGTCTTTATTCAAGCAATTCCAAATCCAAAAGACATAGAGGGTAAAGTTCAACTCTACATCAGCAGTTGTACTCAAATTCTGAAGGACTTCCTTTCATGTTTGTAAAACCAGAAGAGCTCCTCCATCCAAGCAGTTACACTTAAACGCTGCAATAGGCTTTTTTGTCATCCACTTCTATTAACCGTGCTGGATCCTAAAAAAGCAGCTCAAGACTGCAAGCTTTTAGTTAGTTCTTCAATATTATGATTTTATTTTATAAAATTCGCCCTAGTATTTTAAAGTTTTTGCTATTTCTACTTGTCAAGTAAGCATTAGAAATTCTACCCACTTCTAAAAGCTTTACTAAATTAGGGCAGATTAAGAACATTGAGCAGGGATCCTTTTCCCAAAAGGGTTGCTGTTCCTCTGGGGAACTGTTAGTCCGACCACACCATAAGAAAGAGAACAAAAACACTTGAGTTAAGCAGTAAACAGGCCTAGTTTTGGAGCTAACAATGAAAAATATATTAAAAATATTAGGAAAACAGACCTAGGCTGTGTCCGAATGTCTGCCCTAACCACTATATACGCTCTATATAGTGATTGAGGGATCTACAGGTTGGGGCGGACGTTCGGACACAGCCTTAGACTGTAGACTGTGCAGCTGTTCATTGATGATACTGTATGTGACTAAATGTTACTGTTAGGTGAACCGGCATTTATTTAAAAAAAAAACAAAAAAAAACGCCAAGGCAAGGCTGTGGTTTATCCACATTGATTAAAAAGTGAGCTTACTAAATTTGCAAATTAAGCTAAATACATTTCAATAAGCTGCATTTTTCAAATTTTTTACATATTTTAGAAGAGCTTTCCTAATCTTCTATTTTTCTTTCTAAAAATACCAAGGTTGTTCAGATATTCCACACAAAAAACAATGTACAAATAATTGGAATATATAAAAGAAAGACAGGCAGGCAGGTAAGGATAGGCCGACTCTCTTTAAGACAGCAGCGTGTAAAAATAAAGAAAAACTAAACTAAATCAGCCGTTCGACTAAAGAGAGGCACGGCCTATGGCTCTTGTGGTGAAACACTGGCATGCTGATGTTTCAGGGGAGGTGGAGGAGGACTGGGAAACTTACGACTGCATGCAGGGAAGGAGTTGTTAATCTGCTCCATTACATCTGCCAGGTCAGAGCTGCTGTTGTGGGAGGGAAGCAGCTCCTCTGGACACACAGAGGCACAGAGAGGTGGGTATACGGTTACTGGGGACACTTTTTTTATCCTACCCCAACAATAAACTTCCTAGATTTTCTACGAGCGATGACCGGATTTTTGAGGATGAAGGAATGTGGATTATTCTCCTTAAAGGATAGAAACCTACATGTGTGTTTATATGTGTGTGATTGCAGCTCATCACCAAGTTACAGGGTCTTACCTGAGTTTTCTGTAAGTGGTCCTCTTTCTTGCACAGTGGGAGAGGATGCTCCATTTACCCTCGAGTCCACCTCCGGCTGATAGAGATGGGAAAATAAAAATAAATAAAAAAAGATATGAAATTTTGTTTCTAAGGTTAAGAGGGTTTTGCCTGTTTTAGAGTCTGATTTGATTCAAATCATAAACACATCACTCATGTCGGGTATTTTCCCTCCGGTCTTTAATACAGCAAGTATCAAACCATTGTTGAAAAAGAGAAACTTGTACAAATAGGTCCTTCAGAACTACTGGCCCACCTCAAACCTCCCATTCATCAGTAAACTTACAGAAAAAGTTGAGCTTCAACAGGTTAACAATGACCAGCTGCTTTGCTGTCTTCCAGTGAGGTTTCCATGCCAACCACAGTACAGAGACTTCCTTGATTAAGTTGCTCATTGACATTAAGTGACCTCAGCATATGGAAAACTGGGTTGGCCTTGTTGGTACCACACTGGACTGGTTTAAATCCGGTCTAAAGGACTGGGACATTTATGTGTCTATAGCGAACTTTAAATAAGAGACCAGAAAAATTGCATGCGGGGTTCCTCAAGGCTCCATTCTGGGGCCCCTCCTGTTCAACATCTACATGCTTCTCTTGGCTCACATTATAGCAAACAACCAGATTAGTTACCATAACTATGCAGACAATACACAGGTGACTATGAACCCATCAGAGCATTGGTTAGATGTTCAGAACAGATAAATAAGTGGATGCGGCATCATTTTCTACAACTTAATAAAAACAGAACTGATGTAAAAATCTTCAGACCAAAGGAGGAGAGATCCAGAGTTAGCTCACAGCTTCAGCTTCTACAGCTAGAAAACACGGATTGTGGACTAAATCTTGGTGTCATGATGGACTCAGACCTGAAGCTTCAGAGGCACATGAAGGTTACTAAGTTACTAAGTCTGCCTTTTATCTCCTGAAGAATATTTCCAAGATTAAAGCACTAATTTCCAAGCAGAATCTAGAAAAACCCATTCATGCATTCATCTTTAGTAGAATTGATTACTGAAACAGAGTCTTCATAGCTTTGCCAAAAAGTTCATCAGAAAGCTGCAGCTGATCCAAAACAATGCTGCCTGTATTTTCACTAGAAAAAAGAAAGTAGAACACATCAGCCAGGTTCTAAAGTCCTGCCACTGGTTCCCTGTAGCTCAAAGAATAGACTTTAAAATCCTTCTGTTAGACTATAAATAACTGAATGGATCAGCACCTCAAAACATAACAGATTTATTGTCAGTGCATCAACCTTCCAGACCACTCAGGTCTTCTAGTTCAAGCCTACTCCTGTTCATCCAAACTAGAACCAAACATGGAGAATCAGCATTTAGTTCCTATGCTCCACTGATCTGGAACAAACTCCCAGGAGCCTGTAAAAGTGCTGAAAGCCTCAGTTCTTTTAAGTCAAAGTTAAAAACCCATTAGTTTAGAGCTGCTTTTGACTCTTGAAGTTAAACTGATCACATAGGTATTAGTTGAAGGCTGTGGTCCAACTGTTTTAGTTGTTTTACTACCTGCTTTTATCTTTATTTGCTTTTATTTTGCTTTTGTGTTTCTACTTCTACGTTATTGTCTTATTCATGTAAACCACTTTGAAATCTCCATCTACTGAATGTTGCTATACCAATAAACTTGTATTTATTTCCCCACTGGCACCTAAAAACAAAAGGCTTGCATGACGAGAACACAATGAGCTTACAACATTTCATGAAGTTCCCTCCTAAAGTTTCACACCGAGAATAAAACCTTTTGCGTGACTCATTCAAAGACCTCTAAGGACTCTTTTCTGGAGGCGACAGACAAATTCCTGGAATCCAATATAAATGATTGAAATGAATATTATGAAAGTCAGCCAAAAGATACAGCAAACGTTATTGCATCCACACTGAAAGAAACAACATGAAAGTTTAATGAGTCTGCCTTAATGCTGTTACATTTAGCTCCAAGCACATGCAGTAAATCAGATGGTAAACATAGATTACCTTTGGCAATCGGAAAGTCTGCGATGACATTTAGTGGAGTTTTTAATAAGGTAATTAAAGTAGGAGACGTTGGTGATCCCTCACCTAAACATACTTCATGCTGTCCACTGTCCTAAGCTTCAAATATGTGTTAACATCACACAATAACCTTAAATAGCTGTCTAAATATATCTATTATAAGTTATTAATTATTAAAAGATAAATAAATATAATTTTGAAGGTTATTTTAGTTCAATGAAAGTCATATTTTCCATCTATGAACATTTGCATCAAACGTTTTTACAATCTTAAAATTTTCAGGAGGAAACTAGAGAAAACTGTTTATCTCTGGCAACCACCATCTTCTTTAGTTGCTGTTGTCCAAACCGTGAGTAAAGCATCAAATATCATCTAAGAATAGCTGTTTTAGAGCTTTAGTCAACCTTAAAGGGTGTAAATGTAACACCAATCAAGCAGAGGGGCTTTTTTTAAAGATGTGTCCTTAAGCATAGCCTTAAATGTCTGCAGCATATGGACAACAAACACCTTGTTAGATTTCCAGGGACTCAAATGTCAAACAGCACCACCTTATACATAGCAACAGGATGTAAAGTACAAACACTTACTTCTGAGTGCTGCATGATGTTTGCATTTATCTTTAGGAGACAGCAATTCACTTCAGAAACCATTGGAAAAAAAAAAAAAAAAAAAGGCTTCACTAAATTCTTGCAGAGATGCCAGACTTGTCTACCGTTTGATCTACTCTGGTTGAAGTCCTATTGTTTTTTTCTTGCTTGTACTTCAGTTTATTTACAAAAGATTTGTGGCACTGATGTGAAAGATAAAAGCTGCATATAGAGGATAAAGCATGAGTAAAACATCTGAGGAGGAGTGTGACTGTGTGCATTTACCATGACGATCTGACAGTTACTTTTAAGTAAATAATTTCTGGTGGCTCAGAGTCAAAATCTAAAATTATATTCATTTTTTAACTTGAGAATATACAGTACTTCACTTAAAACTGTAATTAAGGTCAACCAATCAGTCGGGTTAAAACTTGATTAGACTTTTTTTATATTCCCCCTGCAATTTTTTTTTTTACAGTAATTAAAATTTCTTGAATTACACATTAACATGAATTCAACACACTGTAGTGTGTTCAGTCATCAATGCACACATTCAGCGACACACAGGAGCTCTTTCAAGCTGGGCACCGTTTTATTCACAACACCCGTCCCATCAACGAGGAATCCGAATCAGAAATACTTTAATAATCCCAGGGCAAAATTACTTTTGTCACATTACTCCATATGTAATAAAGTGGCAATGGGACCAGTTTGATGTAACACAATTTCATATAATATATATAATTAGCGGGTCCCCGCTCCATCTAGCCATCAGTATGGGGAAACGTTGAAGACCCCTGCCCTACATCATCAACTCAGCATCTTAAGGAGCTGTTCACACAGAACGGATTGAGTTAATGTTAATAACAGATTCATACTCTAACCTTTGCATGTTGCAGCTTAAACCCAGATTAATTAGACCAGGCAAAATAGCCTGAATGTTTAAGCTGCTATTAAACCAACCTGCTTATTTAAACTCATTTTTGTTTTCTAATGCTCATCTGTAGAATTGAAATATATTGATTTCACAGGCAGAGGGGAACAAACAGGTTTGGATTCACTTCATGAAGGATATGACACGTGTGGATGCAGCATCTGCGGTGTTAAAGTTAATCAGGGCTTTAGCACCAGAAAGCAAAAATAAAACAAACACGGGTTTGAGGCAATATCTAAATCAGCACCGCAAAGTTGATTGTATTTATAGTCTCATGTTACACTACTCAAATTAAAGATGCTTATTTTCATTCTGTAATTCTATTTTCTGTTTCTTTGTCTTGAATATTTTTGGTTTTTATCAAAATTTGAGTTGGATTTAAGTTAGACAATGCATATCCCTTGAAGATTCATTTGTAGTTTTTTTTTTTTTTATATATATATATTCTGGCCGATATATATATCAGATATTGGCCAATATGTGATATCGGCCTTCAAAATCCCATGTCGGTCGGGCTCTTGTTTTAAATAACTGTACAAAAACTGTGTCAGCGTTTTAGTCCTTTAGTTTTGTTTTTTGACTTCCTCTATAATAATAATAATGAGCTGCTCTGTGTCGTTCCTACCAGCTGCTGGTTGTGTAATTCTGGACCATTATTACTGCTCTGCAGCTGCTCCTCAACAACAAGCTTAATAAAAAATACAACTAAGAGGGAAAAATAAACTTTTAATCATAGTAATGTAGGAGTCAATTCATATGAGGCTGCAATGGAATAAAAATCATAAATTTCTCAACAGAAATAAAACTGTATTTAAATTTTGAAAGTATAACCATAAGCAGAACAAACTGTATTCTTAAACTAACAATGTGACTATGGAACAGTCTGCTCCGTCAGGCATCTTTTTGAATCCTTATTCAAATTTTTTTTTTTTTTTGGTCTGCTAAATAACTACTGGTTTTTTTATACTAATGGTTGCCTTACATCTATATTTTGAAAAAGGGTTATGAGAAAAGCACAGAAAAAGGACAAGTAGTGCTCTACACTGCACAATTAAGGACCATTTGGGATTATTCTGAGGACTACTACTTCATTTTCAAAAGAGAAGCACATGTGGGGCTTTTAAAAGTTTATTTTAACTATAAAAGTGCAGAATTATAACCATTCTGCTCAAATTGTGAGTGTGGACAGTAAGCAGCCTATGTTCTCTCGCATAACTAGACCTTTGGGCGACATATTCATATTTTAAAAGGAACACTTTGTATCTCACAGGATTCTGCACCACTTAATTTATGAGAGCAGCTCCAGCTATCATAAAAACCCTGTGATGCGAGAAAGTCTTCATCAAAGTAATAGCAGTTATATGACTTTATTGACCTAAACTGATATATTTTTTTTTTTATTTTGCACTTCAAAGAAAAAGAAACTATTCTAAAAAAAATTACTTACAAGCCAAATACAAAAAATCTGACTTTTTTCTTTATGCTTGTAGTTGATCATGATTTGCTGGATTCTGCTTTTAAAAACTGACCTCAGTCTTAAATATCCTATGGAGGGGTGCACCATTATGCTGAAAATACTGCAATTATCAGCTAAATGTTCCTCGACTGATGGGAAACAGTTGTTCTGAAGGTTTCAGACCAAAGTGAGGAGTCTGAAACCTGACACTAAATTATGTGGAGTTGCAGAACTGTAGCTTCCACTTTTACTGTCTGGAGAAAGGATTTTCCAGACAACGAATTTATCAGTCGATAAACTGCACTATTCTTCTGCAGTCCATTATTGTACTTTGCAAATTACGCTATTTCTTGGTTCCATTGCTGCTCTCCTCTAGACTCTCTACTATACATCATTAACTCACTGTTTATACAGACATACATCCACCTGTTGCCTCAATTTAGCACATTTTGTACGGGTGGCAACAAAAGAGCCATGAGATCTTCCGCTGCTCTGCCACTGAGTCTGTTTCTGCCAAAACCTTTGTTTGTTACTTTTGGAGACGTTCCATGCAGGTTTTGAAACAATAAACGCCATGTTTCCATATACTGCTTTCAGAATAGTTCAACATTTTTGTCAGAAATATTTTAAACTTGCTAAGCTAAACAAAATAATCTCTTATATTTGTGCATAAACAGATACCTTGATTCAAGCAAATTGAGCAACACTTTTAGGACAGAATCTTAGAAGACAAAAAAACCCAATGAAGTACATATTAAATGAAATTCAAAGAAAGGGGCCAAAAGGGTCAAGTTCAACTTGCTAAAAACCAACATTTGGCAGAGGTTTACCTCTTAAAAGCTTTCTATGCATAGAATAGTATGACTATAGAAATGGATTAAAAAAATATCAATATTTTCTCCTAATAAATAACTTTTTCATTTGGTGATAAAGCTTTCAAAAGAGTTAAAGGACTTCTGTAACCTGATGCAGTAGCTGTCGCAGACGGTGGAGCTGCGACTCCAGCTGCCTGTTGTGATCCTCCAGGAGGTGCATGCGTGCCTCCAGCCGGCCTTTGTGTTGTCGAAGCAGCTTGGCTTCAGCTAGAAGATCGGCCTCGTCTGGATGAGAGGACTGACCCTCAGACTCCCAGGGGGCTCCAGCAGAGGCGCCTCTATCACCATGTTGTTCCTTCAGCTGCTCATACTCCCTCTGCAGTGTCCTGAGATAGTTGATAAGAAACAAAGTACAAGGACAAAAACACACATGAACACCTGGATACCTCGCATTGCCATCATCAAGACTTCTGTCATTCTTTTTAGTTTTTCCCAAAATAAATATCACAAATTAACAACATTGTTTTTACTCAAATTTCAGCAGCCTTTTTATGAACCTGCACAGTGAAGTGCAATGCAAACTTCTTTCATTTAAGTTCACCTCTGCTTTCTGCTCCCAGAGTTAATTCTGACTGATGTGAGTAAATAAACACAAAGGATCTCCTGCCTCCCCCTTCCTCTCCTTCCTCATCTGAGTGCAGAAACATAAGCTGCAGTGCTTTACTTAAGTTGGCATTTATGAGCCTGGCAGTAAAGCTCTCACAGCTCACCCCCTGAGCCGGTGCATGTGTGTAATCAGTGCTAAATCACTTCAGTCGAGCTCCTGGCTCTGCAAAAAGCATCTCAACAACAATAGACTTTGCAGTCATTCTTCTTACTATGTCCATTTCATTTACAAATCAAACATTGTGTGTAGGAGCCAATATAGTTAGAAGAAGTGTGTGCCTAGAGTCTCCTTTGGACTGTAAAGTTACAGAAGACAGATTACTCTAAGAAAGCGTGACAAAATAAAGCCTCTTTATTTTTATTATCATGTTTTGAAACATCCGGATTTATAAAACTGACTTTTGCACTTTTAAAAAGAAAGGTTTTTCTTACTGATCTGAAATTCAGGTAAAATAATCAATCAAAGTTAGTTTGATTGGAGTCCTGATGAAAACCTTTATTTATGCGTTTAATGATTACCTCTGTTCCTCCTCCAGACGGGCGATGGTCTGCTCCAACTCGCCTCTCTCCTCCCTCTCAACAGCCTGCAGTATCTGGGCAGGACTCTGAGGCTGGCTGGACGGGGAGCCTTCGCCGCCCAGAGTCTGGCAGTACTGAATGATCAATGCATGTTCATCATCCCTGTAAAAAGGGTTAAGTTTTAGATGAGTGAAGATCCTAAAATATCATCATGTCAGTCCCTATTATTTTAACATCAGGAGCAGAAAGTTTTAATATTCCCTTTGAAATTCATAACAGAAACACATTTTGTGATCTATGATAGGAATTAAGGCAGCAATTTAAAACAAATTACTGATTAATGAAATGACCTTTTGAAGGATAATTATAAGGTAGTAAGAGAAAACTCAAAAAATCTAAAGACGCAATTAAAATTTGACTTTTTCCCCCACCACTATTGTACTTTAAACACAGGCCTATAATGTAGGAAATAGAACCTTAAATGGAAAGAGCTGTTAGGTAACAGCACTAGGCGGGGTTAAAATTTTATGTCCACCAAGTGTTGGACACCTGATCATGTTAATTCTTTTTTTCTAGTCCCCTTCTTCCAATTGGAAAAAAATGATCACACAGCATGGCCACTGTTATGCTGATGACACTCAGCTATATTTGTCCATGAAACCTGATGAAACTAACCCATGCACAGACCACAGGCATGTCGTAAGACATGAAAAGCTGGATGACCTGCAGCGTTCTGCTTTTGAATGAAGACAAAACAGAACTCATTGGATTTGGGTTTCATTTACATTCAGTCACTTCTGGAAGAGATCAAATTGTCCTCTGATGATGTAAAAATCCTTGGTGTTATTTTTACCAGGACTTCTCTTTCAAATCCTGTATTTCACAGGTTTATAGAACTTCATTCTTTCATCCAACTGCAAAAAGTACGAACATGCTGTGTGGGAGTGATACTGAAAAACTAGTCCATCCATTTGAAACTTCAAAGCTGGACTAATGGGCGATTAGTATTACTGTCAATAGCTGTGCTTAGTGCAGTTAAAAGTCTTCAACTGCAGCCAGAAATCTGACCAAAATTATAGAGATATCTCTCTCCTACCGGAGCTTCCCTTTAGTGTCTCTAAATTAAAACTAAAATATAATTTAAAAAAAAATCTCATCACTTATAAAGCCATAAATAATAAGATTTTGTATCAGATCTGATATAAACAACACATGCAAGTTATACTGAAAACTTAGGTGACAACTCTTTAAACCAAGCATGGACACACAAGTTGTTTTTTTGTTGTTGTTGTTTTTACAGATATTAGTTTTAGGGCTGTTTTCAATAATCAATCCAACATATTTCCAAATGAATTTCTGACTCCCAAATCTTCAGGTTAGAAACATAAATATATATAGGAACAGTGTCCCTAAATATGGTCTGACTATACAGACATTTAGTCAATAAAACATGAACGTAATCTCATATTATTACATATTGAGTTTTCAGTACTCTGTATTATTCTTTTACTAGTATTTTTTTTTCTTTTTATTTCTTTAAAAGTTACAAAGAATTTGATCAGATAGAAGCAGCAGTTGTTTTCTTCACTGTTTAATTCGTCTATTGTTTTAGTGTAGTTGTTCCTGGTTATAACAGGGAAAACGAACAAAGGTACACATTGTACATAAAATGTCTTCGGTATATGTTATTGTCAAAAAAAAAAAATTTGATCCCACATATTGTTTCTTTATCTTAATTTAAAAAAGAACATGAGAAAATAAACAAACCACTAAGCCAATAAACCCAAAGTACTGTTTTACTTTTCAGAGAGTTTTGCCCTACATTCCTCCTAAAGCTTTATTTATAGCAGACTAATGTAGAAAATGAAGGACATTATTCAAATGTAAACATATTCCTTTAATTACCTCGAACTTTTAGAGGCTCTAATATCTTTTAAATTTAATGGGAAATATCTGTCATTTAGGACAGGTTTTCTGTCACCATCTTAGGTACCTTAAACATGTTTCAATATTTGAACAAATTCAACATGATATCCAGAATGTAGAAGCGGGAGTCATTGTTGGATCAGTTGCCTAGTAGCAGGGAGGTTTTTGGTTTAGTTCTTGCCTGGAGCCTTGAGTTGACTTCATGTTTTCCTTTTTTCTACAATAACCTTAATACAATATTTGCATGTTAGGTTAATTAGAGTTCTTTACTTGCCCTTAGGGGTGTGTGTGTGTGTGTGGTTTAGCAGTCTCAGCTCTTGTTTAATGAATCTGTTGATCCTCTGAACAGGCCAAGAGTGAACCCTACCTCTCTCCTATCAACAGGGTTTCTATATATTCTATTAAACAAATTCTAGTTGGAGGTTAGAAATATTGCAACCAAACTTTAACACAATAATAAGACAACAGTATCAACTGATCACCCTGCTAAAATAACTTGATTTAAAGTAAAGGATCTTCAGCTGCCGTATATCTGGTAAAATGAAAAGATCCACAATTCCAGGTGGGACACATGCCAGTCTTAGCTATCTGATTATCCCAGAAGCGAAGGAAGGAATGGGTGATTGAGAGCATGGCTGAGCCACAGCTTTGCAGACAGATTAAAAGATATGATGAAAGAGGAGAAATGGCTTCTGTCTTGTATCTGTAGGAGTATTTATCTGTCATCTCAATGATAATGAGAAGAGGTGGCAGGTCTTCCTGAAGCCCAGCAGTCATCTTTATTCTAGGACACGTCTAACACTTGACAACCACACTTCAGGAAAAAGGGAAGAAAGCTGACTTTTTAAATGATTTATTCACTGTTAAAGCAACTTATTTTGAGAGGCAGTTTGACAGCTTGAAATAAAGTTTGGAAGAGAGAGAGTTCAGTTTTGCCCTAGCTCCACATAAAGCATTTTCTTAAGAATATTTCAGCTGTCATCATGCCATCTCAACGTAGAATGCAGTATATACTTGTTTCATATATGCATTCATGAAAAACATTAGGATTTACCATTAAAATATTCAGGTTTTACAAAGAAAATGTTCACATAGACCCTGTGATCGGAGTACTAACACGAGAAAGCCCAGAGGATTTTATGGTGGTGAGCTGGCCAGGACTGACTACAGGAAGCCATTCCCTATCCTGGTATGAAACATGTTAAATGACAATAATGTCATCTATCCTGCTGTCAAAGTTATTTTATTTCAAGCTCATCCGCCCAAAACACAACATAGAAAACATTCTAGTTTTTGTACATGTTCTCTTTTGTAAACCTCTTTCAGGCATTCAGGGTGAAAGCAAAGGATACCTTGATGCAGCGCTCAGGCAGGAGAATTATTTAGAGATTCTAACTTTATTTAAAGGAGTATTAAAGTTAGGGACACCCTTGAGATAATTTATTACTGCACAGTTAAACAGCACAATATTAGTCAGGTCAATAACTATCCACTATTGACTTCTGCTCTATATATGTTAAATAGTTTATACTTTTATACTTTACTGTATGTGGCTTGCTTTTGTGTCTTTGAGTAATGCTTGTCTGTGATCAAGCTGGATGAGATCCATTTTGGTCCTGTGTTTTAAAACTGCTGATACTTTATTCTAAACACTTTAAGCCAGTAATTGTATTTTCTTTCCCTCTAATGAACATGCATTCCCCAAAAGACTGAATGTGATTCACGAAATATTTCTAACATCCCTTTTTAATCAAGAAAATAGAAACACTATATTAAATGTTTTAGTCCATAGCGCTAATCCCCATCACACATTTTATAAAGGTTTAGTAAAAGTAGGTCCTAGCAACACTAACTGTTTGCACAGCATAGACAAATACTGGACTTCTTTTTAACTTTTATAGTTAAGAAATCCTTCTCTGTTTGGAAATACTGAAAAGCTTAGACACCCTAATTACACAGAACATGTGTAGTTAGGGTGTCTAACCTTTTCAGTATTTCAAAAAGATTTTCTGATGTTTAAAATCTAAACACGAATGACATAAATTAAAAAAACTAAGACAGAAAATGAATGTCGCATATCTCCTGCTGCAACAGGGAGAAACACACACATACACAGTCTTACATTTCACCCTGAAATATGCTTATACTGTAGAAGGGGAAAAAAATAACCCACGATGATGAAAAAAGGCTCCTGCTGAGAAACCTAAAATCTGGCAGTAATATCATATTCTGGGGGAGAGGGACGGGGGTCCAGCACACACAGAGTGGCTAATTATGCATGTTCTGGAAGACCCAGGGACTGGCAGGGGAATGTGGAGGCAAACAAGAGGGGATCATTACCAGTGAAAATGAGAACTATGGGAGGTAGTGCTGCCTCAGTGCCCCCTGCCATGAGATCATGGGATGACGAAGGGCAGCCAGTGGTACAGGCATACTTAAACAATGTCAGAGTGGTATAGCAGGGGATTAAAATGTAAATAATAGGTGGATTGTGAATTTGAGTGTCCTGTTGAGGTAGAAAACCCAGAGGGACTCGTTACTCAACAACAGACAAGCATATAAAGCAAGCCTTCTCTATTTAGCCAAGATGAGCACTGCTGATGCATCAGATGCACAGGACAAACACCAGAGAGAAAGAGCGAGTAAAGAAGATATTTAAAAATAGTAAAAAATCTAAGTTGTAAGATGATGGAAGATGACTGCAGGAAATGAGGTACAGTTTGTTAAAACTTTTTGCCTTAATTTTAGCTTCCAGGTGGAGAACTATGTCTAAACACTCTGGAGTCATTTCTCAGTCCCAGTGCCCAAAGAGTAAAACATGATTATTATGCAATCAGCAATAATCAAAAGGCCTAGAAGGAAAAAGAAAGAGATTATAGGGAGAGATGAAAGCCTACATAAGCGGCAAAAGAACAAAGAACATATTAAAAAGTAGAGACAAAGGCCAGCATCATGTTGAGGACAGGAAAGTATGCAATAACAAAGCCACTAATTACTAAACTGTGCTGTATCTGGAGGACAGAGACAACACCAATTTACTAATTTAGAATTCCCCTTTAGATAAAAGGCTATACAAAACAAAAATAACGCATTCACTGAAGCAAAACTCACTCACAAAGCAATTATTGATATCAATATACAACTGGCAGAGAGTCTGGAACTGTGGTTGCAAAATTTGAATAATCAGAAAATGAGCCAAAACTCAAACAGGCATGTAATTGGTAAACGCAACCATC